GAAATAGGCAAAAGATCTGAATAGACACCTCACCAAAGAAGATATCTAGATGGCAAAAAACATATGAAAAAGATGTTCCACACCATTTGTTATTGGAGAATTGCAAATTTAAACAATGAGTTATCACTATACACCTATTATAATGGCTAAAATACAAAAATATAACAATACTTAATGTTAATAAGGATGTGGAGCAAGAAAAACTCATTCATTGCTGGTGGAAATGCAAAATGGCACAGTCACTTTGGAAAAGAAGTTGGCAGTTTCTTATAAAGCTAAATATAGTTTTATTATATGATTCAGCAATTGTGCTCCAAGATATTTACTGAACTGATTCATACAAAGACCAGCACAAGAAAGTTTACAGCACCTTTTTTCATAATTGCCAAAAACTGGAAGTAACCAAGATGTCCTTCAAAGGTGTATGAATAAACAAACAGTGGTACAAACAAATGATAGAATATTACTCAATGCTAGGAAGAACTGAGCTATTAAAGTATTAAAAGACATGGATGAACCTTAAATACACATTGCTAAGTGAAAAAAGCCAGCTTGAAAAGGCTATATAGTGTATGATTTAAATTATATGACATTCTGGAAAGGCAAACATTACCTCAGCCAGGCTATCAAGGTCAAAGTCAACAGTGATAAATCATATTGATAGTATGTATTTATGATACCCTGGAAATAAATGTACCCTAAAATGGCACTTTATTTCTGTGATCTTTCTCTCAAAAAGATATTACCCAGTCTAATCATGAGAGAAACACCAGACAAACCCCAATTGAGAGACATTCTACCAAATACCTGATCAGTACTCCTCAAAACTGTCAAGGTCATCAAAAATAAGGAAAGTCTGAGACGGTCATAGCCAAGAGAAGCCTAAGGAGACATGATAACTAAATGTAATATGGTTTCCTGGATAGGATCCTGGAACAGAAAAAGGACATTAGGAAAAAACGAAGGAAATTTGAATAAGGTATGGACTTTAGTTAATAATAATGTATCAATATTTATTCAATACTTGTAACAATACTTGTACTATAATAGATGTTAATAACAGGAAATTGGGTATGAGGAATGTAGAAACTGTGTATCTTCACAATTTTTCTGTAAATCCAAAGTGTTGTAATATACAAAGTTTATTTAAAAAACAACTGTATTTTAATATTCAAGCAATAAATAATCAGAAAGTGAAATTTTAAAATTCCATTTACAACAACATCAAAAAATAGGAAATACTTAGGGATAAATTTGACAAAAGAAGCATAAAACCTGTACATAAAAATTATAAAATATCCTACAGGAAATTAAAGATCTAAGAAAATGGAGAGACATACTGTGTTCATGAGTGGGAACACTTGATATTCTTTAGATGTCCTTTTCCCTCAATTTCAATCAAATTCCCAATCAGGCTTGTTTGTACACTTACAAAGCTACTTCTAAAATTAAAATGCAAAGGAACTAGAATAGCCAAAAGAACTTTGAGAAAAACTAAGTTGGAGGACTAGCACTACCTAACTTGAAGACTTAAAACAAAATAATCAGGAGTATTGTATTTGGCATCAAGTTATATAAATAGTTCCATCAAACAAAACAGATAACCAAGAAACAAACCTACACATATATGGACAACTAACTTTCTATAAGGTGGAAAACAATTCCGTACAGACAGGATAGTTTTTCAACAAATGGTGCTGGAATAATAGGATATCTATATGCAAAAAAAGTAAACTTTGATCTTTATTTAGTACCATATACAAAAATTAACTTGAAATGGAGCACAGATTTAAATGTAAGAACTAAAACTATAAAACTGCTAGAAGAAAATATGGGAGAAAAATTTCAGTTACCTTACGCTTAAGGATTTCTTTAAAAGAATACAAAAAGCTGGATATGAATTTCTTAAAATCAATAAATTTCACTAAATCAAAATCAAGAACATATGCTCCTTAAAAATAAAAAGGCAAGCCACAGACAGGGAGAAAATATTTGCAAAACACATACCTGAAAAAGGACTTATATCTAAAATACAGAAAAACTTTTATGATTTAATAAGAGTATAAACAACTCAATAAAAGCGTGCAGCCCTGGCCGGTTTGGCTCAGCGATTAGAGCATCAGCCTGCGGTCCAGAGAGACCCGGGTTCGATTCCCACTAAGGGCACGTACTTCGGTTGCAGTTTGTACCCGGCCCTGGTTGGGTTGTGTGGGTGGCAGCCACTCAATGTGTCTCTTTCACGTTGATATTTCTCTCTCTCTCTCTCTTTCTCTCTCTCCCTCCAATTCTATCTGAACAAAAAATGGAAAAGTGTCCTCAAGAGAGAATAAAAAAAAAAAGTGTGCAAAAGATTTGAACAAACACTAAGGAAGATATATGTATGGTCCATAAGCACATGAACAGATGCTTGAAATCATTAGTTATTAGGAAAGGCAAATTAAAGCATAATACATACCTATAAAAATAACTAAAACTAAGATACCGCACACCAAGTGTTGCTGAGGATATGGAACAATTGGAACATTTATACACTGGTGGTGCAAATTTATGGTTTCTTTTTTTATTTTTATTTTTTTTTATTCTAACCTGAGGATATTTTTCTATTTTTTCTTCAGGGAGAGAGAGAGAAATATCGACATGAGAAGGACACTACTGGTTGCCTCCCGTAAGAGGCCGACCAGGGCTGGGAACGAACCGTAACCTAGGTACATGTCCTTGGCTGGAATCGAACCTGGGACTCATTGGTCCATGGGCTGACGCTCTATCACTGAGCCAAACCAGCCAGGGTGCAAATTTACGGTTTCTTCTGAAGTTAAACATGTATGAATCATATGACTCACTCACTCTATCTACTCTTAGATATTTATCCGAGAAGAATAAAAGCATATGTCCATACAAAGACTCGTGGTAGAACATTCACAAGTTTTATTTGTTTTAGCCCAAACAGCAAACAACCAAAATGTCTTTGCTGTATATCCAATATAATGGAATACTACTCAGTGATTAAACAGAAATAAACCTTTGATTATATGTGAAAACATGAATAAATCTCCTAACAATTATGGTGAGTGAAAGTAACCTGACAAAATAATATACACTGTATGATTTCATTTATATAACATTTTTAAAAATACAAACAAATTTCTATGACAGATAACAAATCAGTGGTTGCCTAGGAATTAGCAAGGTAGGGGAGAAGTTACAGAAGGGCATAAGGAAACTTTTAGGAGCGATGCTTAGGGCTAATATCCCAATTGTGGAAATGGTTTTACAGGTAAAAATATATGTCAAAACTGACCAAAGTGAACACTTAAAAATTTTTTTCTTTATTGATTCTAGAGAGAGAAGAAGGGAATTTTTTTCTTTACTGATTTTAGAGAGAGATATAGAAACATTGATGAAAAAGAACATCAACTGGCCATGCTCCCTACTGGGGATTGGGCCCACAACCTGGGCATGTGCCCTGACCAGGAACTGAACTGGTGACTTCTTGAACAACACAGGCTGAGCATAAGTGAACACTTTAAATATGTGCAGTTGACATATTTGTCAACTATACTTCAATAATACCATTAAAATAAATGTATACCCCAAAATATCCAATTACATACATGTATCAGAATATTTTAATAAACTACTAAAATGTTTTCAAAGAACTTCTAATGACATGGGAAAATGCTTATGGTATACTATTACATGAAACTGCTCGAATATATAACTTAATATAGGATGATGTCAATTACATAGAAAGCTTATGTACACACAGAAAATATTTCTTAGAAACAGATCTACATTAATAATAGTCTTTCCTGGGTTATGAAATCATGGGTGATTTAAATTTTTACTTTTCTCTACTTTCCAAGGGTTTTTTTGTTGATGTTGTTTCATCTATTATTTTTATTTTACCAGAGATTGTAATATCCTTTTAAGCAGGAAATTAAAACACTGATGAAGGGAAGAATTGAGTAATTATCTATCCTGACAAGTGATTCCAATGTATGCACAACAGACCCTTGAACAATCAAAGAGAAGGTTCTGAGAACTCATAGGTGAACCAAGTATTACCTGTAACTTAGAAATTTGTTTCTCATTCACATGAACTATTTTTCAAATGTTCATAGAGTCACTGAAATTCAACCTTAACTGAATCTGTAGAACCTCTATTTTTTACATTAACAGATACTAAAAGTAAAACAAAACCACTAGCATGGAGGTCTTCAAAAACTTATTCCCTGCCCTGGCTAGTGTGGCACAGCTGGTTAGAGATCATCCCGTACATCAAAATGTGGTGGGTTTGACACCTGGTTAGAGCACATACCCAGGTTGTGGGTTCAGTCCCCAGTCAGGGCACATGCGGGATGTTACTCTCTCACAACAATGTCTCTCTTTCTCTCTCACTCTCTCTCTTTCTGTCTCTCTCTCTCCTCCCTTTCTAAAATCCATAAAATATACTAAGTATATGAAACAAACAAAAATAACATATTCCCTTATACTTATTGCCTGTAGGCTCTTTACCAGAATTTCTTCTCCTACTGTACCAGTACGAAGGGCGGGCTAAGCACAGTACTTGACATTCAGTTAATAAGTTCCACTGCATGTTCCTATTTCTCTGCTATGACTTTTATTATATTCTAAACCACCCTTTTCCTAAGCTAATGTAAAACCTGTGCTTTGTGTGTTCTTACACTGTTCAGACCCCGGAACATAATTTAAATGAACAATCAAATACAAAGGTCAAACACGCTCTCTACCCAGAATAGCTTTGTAAAATCTATAGTTAAACAATGAGGCTTTCTCCAAATGTAAGATTGAGGCTACTAAAAGTCTGAGTCCTCGTTAAGTGTGGCGTTACCAATCTGTGATTGATCTTGGGGAAATCATTTAATGTGTGCTTCATAATGTTCTTCCCCAAAATTAAAGTCAACAATTATCATTATAAAATACTCCACAAAAGCAGAGTTATTAATGATAAACTATTGTTCAAATGCAATTTGGTTTACCTCAAAGAATTATTCTCTGCTTTCTGTCTGCCAAGTTCACTTTCGGTATCCATTGCCTTTCTTGCTAGTGATTTCATTTCTTTTTCCACCGTGGTTATGGTTTCCTTCATCAAAGTCATATTTGACATTTGCTCCATACGTTCATCATCAAGCTATACAAGTAGAATGACAAGGTTACTGCCACCACTAAAAAAGTCTTAGTGATGTTCCTAAGTAAAAACCCGTATATGACAAGATTTACAACGAGATGACCATCTGAGGCTTGAATGTTGTGGAAGGCTGTCTAGACAAGGTGTTGTAGAGTAGGAACAAGAATAGTATAGCTATCTGCATTTTCAGTCTGGTTCAATCTGACTTTAGCATACATATTCTATGTGCAAAAAAATTTTCTTATTTGTTGCTCAACATTAACAAATGATATCTATAAAGTGAAATTTTGAAAAACAAAATTGTTTTTCCCCTACCTACTTTTTTTTAACTCATTATAAAAACATAATACAGATGAATTTATAAGTACATTCAGCCCTGGCCAGTTTGACTCAGTAGTTAGAGTGTCGGCCCGCAGACCAGAGAGACCTAGGTTTGGTTCCCACTAAGGGCATGTACCTTGGCTGCGGTTTGTCCTCAGCCCTGGTTGAGATCGTGTGGGTAGCAACCACTCGATGTGTCTCTCTCACATCGATGTTTCTCTCTCTCTCTCTTCCTCCCTCTCTCCCTCCTGCTCTATCTGAAGATAAATGCAAAAATGTCCTCAGATGAGGATAAAATAAATTAAAAAAAAAAAATACATTCAATTAAATTTGGTAACAGAAAGTCAAATTCCCTTAATTCTGTTTATATAGTCATAATATCTTATCTTAAATATAGTATCTCAATCTCCTTAATTAGTAAAAAAAAAAAAAAAGGTGACGCTTCACATTTAAATTCAGTTTACATAAATTTTTCTCATTAATTTTCATTTCACCATGATTTTCTCTACCCTAGCTACACTTTATGTAGAATAATCCAGTTTCCCTGTATCTGGCAATGTATCTTCAATGAAATACAGAGATTAAAATTTTGCTAAAATCCCTGAGAATATATCCCTAATGGTTTTTGAAAAAGAACACACTTTGCAACCTAACATACAAAAGATTTTACTCAAATTTTTATTTTATTTTATCCTCACCGAGGATATTTTTACATTTTTTGTTCAGATAGAGTGGGAGGGAGAGAGAGAGAAAGAGAAACATGGGCATGAAAGGGACACATTGAGTGGCTGCCATCTGCACGACCCAACCAAGGCCGAGGACAAACTGCAGCCGAGGTAGGTAAGTGCCCTTAGCAGGAACCGAACCCGGGTCTCTCTGGACCACAGGCCGACGCTCTAACCCCTAAGCCAAACCGGCCAGGGCTTACTCACATTTTTAGAAGGGAATACACAATGAAGAATTGATATTTTACACCATATATACCACCTTAAATATTTTAGGATTACAAACACTATTTTAGAAAAATAAAAGAACTTCTCTGAACATGGGAAAAGGGAAAGCCACTGACACTTCATAGCCAAAAGTGCAAAAGTGATTTTCTTTACGTTATGAACTGTACACTCCAGCTCCTCTATCCTTTGTTCCAAGTGAGCCTTCTCATTAAATGCTGTCTCTTGGGCAATCTGGTAAAAAACAAAAACAAAAAGTGCTTTCAATGTCACTGTGCTGTGTTTAACAAATGTTCAAATAGGTAAAATTCTTTCAAACCTTAAGCCTTTCCCTCAGGCTATCTCGTTCTGTGGTCATTCTTCGTAAATCAGTGAAGGCTACATCTCTTTCAGTTTCCACCCGCCGAAGGATGGCATGTGCTGTTGTTGATTTAGGAGATTTACAGCTTTTCATCATTTCTCTTCGAAGTCGGGCAATCTCTTCCTGCGCCTATTATTTAAATACAAAGACTCGTATTTAACAAGCTTTAGAACAGATATAAATATAGCTATCTTATATCCAGCCAGTTAAAATCCAAACCTGTTATCAATATGCATGGAGTAGTATAATGGTATAATTTGGACTTTATACAAATAACAAATAAACACACATGATGCCTCCAAAATGCAAACAGATGTGTACAATTAGAAATTGGTTTATAATATCTTTGCTACAATTTTTTAAAATTAATCTGGAAGCAGTCAATGCAGGGGAAAATGATTTACTAAGAAATATATATGGTATACGCCATCTGTTTTGTGATATAAACATGAATTCAGTACAATTCAGATAGAATACTACTAGTCTAATAAATATTACCACAGTGTTCTAGTCTTTCTCTACATAAATGTATACGCCAGAGTCATGTCCTAGCTACCTTTCCCCTGACAGAAAGGCCCACTAATCCTTACTGACAACCCAACAGTCTCTGCATACTCTTCAACCATCCTTAGTTCCAAATCTATTCTACAACAGCAGATGATTTCATAGCTTACTTTGTGGCTTAAGTCCTGTATTTTCCTTCCTCTCAACTGTAATCACTATCTGTTCAGCTAGTCTCCAAGTCTCAGAGGAAGTTATGTTACTTCCCAATTTCCATAGCTAAGCCTTCACCAGAATCCTGGACCTCATCTTCTGAAGATTCTTCTAAGATATCTCTGTCTCAATTATAATTATTTCCTCTCTCCTTGAATAGCACTCTCTCCACTGGCTCTTTCTCCCCTGCCTTCGACAATGCACAGGGCTCCCATATTTTGAAAAACTGTCACATAATCCTGTTGTGCCCATTTACCATCCTATGACTCCCTTTCTCTCATTTGTTTTAAGTGTCTGTACTATGACCTGTTCCTTACTACCCATTCTCTCACCCTACTGTAACCTGGCTTCCACACCAACCACTTTGCAGAACTTCAACTAATGACCTCACCAAATCTAATGGCCTTTTCTCAGTTCCTGTTCTTGATATTTTGGCAACATCTGACCTTGTTTTCAACACCCTACTTGAAATTTCTTCCTTCCTTGGTCTTATAACATTTTTCTGCCTTAGTTTCCCGTCTTCTTTCTCTCTTTCAAAGGTTCCACTACCAACTGAATAAAACTTCCTAAGATGCTCTATTTATAGTTTTCTCATTCAGAGCCCTCATCCACTCTGAAGGCTCAAAACTCATCTCTAAGCAGATGACTTCTAAATCTACGTATTCAGCTCTTGCTTTTCTCTCCCTCCAGTACCACATTTCTTACTGGCAATTACTACCTGAATACACTCCATCTGTCTGAAACCAAACACATCTTTTCCGTCAAATCAGCCATGACTTTCCTATTTTTTTTTCTGTTACCACAATTCTTCACTCATTCAGAACAGAACTTCAGACATGTTCATTCACCCCTCCTTTGTGCGCGAATCAAATCTTGTCAAGTTTTCCTCAACAGCATCCTAGCTTAGTCCCTCAATGCCTCTTGCATGGACTATTGCAACAGCCTTCTAAAGAATACATGGTTTTTCCCTCTGCCAGTTCTCTGGTTATATAAGATAACATATAAGGACTACGTAGAATAATATAAAATTGTTACCAGGTTAAAATTATAAAAATGTGGCTTTGGTCATATTTCTTCTGCTTAAAAGAACAATAAACTGTCCACTGCTTATAAAGCAAACTACAAACCCTTTGTAAGGCCCAGTGAACAGCCTCCACATATTGTCCAGAAGCTGGTAAATGACACTGGCTCACAGGCCAAATCCAGCCTGTCTCCTGGTTTATAGGTCTATAAGAGGATAATGTTTTTATATTTTTAAATAATTGAAAAAAATCAAAAGAAGAAAATTCTTCATAACGGGAAAAATAATATGAAATTCAAATTTGTGTCCATAAATAAAGTTGTATTGTAACAGACTAAACATATGCATTTGTATATTGTCTATGGATGCTTTCACACCACAAAAACAGAGCTGAAACACTGTGACAGAGATCACATGGCCTGCGGAGCCCAAGGTATTCATTATCTGGGCCTTCACAGAAAAGTTTGCAGACTCCTGCTCTAGGCCAATCTACCTCTTAAGCCTCAGCTTCCCCTTCCTCCACTGTCACACAACTTTCATTGCAGTCTTTAACTGATCCACTTATCTCTTGATTTTCCTGCCTTCATCTTTTGCTTCACATCATTCCCTTTAGTCTGGAATGTTCCTTCTTATCCCTTTCAAGATAATAGAAACCCCATTCATCCATGCCTCAGGACAAACTCTACATCATCTAGCAAAGATTTCCTTGATCGCTAAAAAGAAAAATACCTACTTATTTTATTTTTGCAACATCATCTAGACTACTTATGCTAAGATAACAAAAAGAATAACCAAAAACTATATACTTTATCTCCCCAACTAGATCGCAAACATAGAAAATACTATCTGCAAATGTTTTTAAACTGTGTTCCATGGCACTCTGTGGCCTAATGAAGCAGTGGGGTGGATCACAACAGCTTCTCACTGTCTTACACTTCAAATCTCAATATAAAATCGTCTGAAGAGAAGGAATATGGAAACAATTTGAAAATCACTAACTTATACTATACGCAAGTCGGTGTAGGATTTTTCAAGGCTGAGGTTTCAGTAAAATAATCTCATACTTTACACTAACGCACATAGTTTTGTTATTAAAGGACTTTACTGCCCCTTAGCAGTCCTGGTCCTACAATCATGTATATGTACATTGACTCAGGTTTCATGGCACAAACACAGATACCAGGGAATTCTAATCAAAGCAAAGCAATCACCCCACATATTTAGAAGTGGTAGCTGCTATTTAAACTGCTCAAACTAAAAATAAGAAAGCTGTCCAGCCGGTGTGGCTCAGTGGTTGAGCGTCGGCCCATGCATCAAGAGGTTGCCAGTTTGATTCCCAGTCAGGGCACATGCCCAGGTTGGGGGCCCAATCCCCAGTAGGGGGCATGTAGGAGGCAGCCAATCGATGTTCTCTCTCATTGGTGTTTCTATCTCTCTCTCCCTCTCCCTTCTTCTCTCTCTAAAATCAATAAAAGAAAAACAATAAGAAAGCTAATTATAGAAGAGAATAGTCCTGGCTGGTTTGGCTCAGCAGTTAGAGCATCGGCCTGTGGACCAGAGAGTCCCAGGCTTGGTTCCTGCTTAGGGCATGTATCTCGGTTATAGTTTGTCCCCAGCTCTGGTTGGGGTCGTGTGGGTGGCAACCACTTTATGTGTCTCTCTCACATTGATGTTTCTCTCTCTCTCTCTTCCTCACACTCTATCTGAAAAAGAAAAAAATAAATAAAAATCTTCTAAAAAAAAAAAAGAGAGAATAACATGTGTCATCCATTAAATAGCTAATATGTTTAAATTTTTAAGTATAATAAAATCTCATTAAAACACTGCTAAGGAGGAGAAGAAATTAACAAAATTGAGATTAGAGTGAGAAAGAAAACAGTACTGTGATTTAACCAAAAGTCTTCCATGCTATGATGTAGTACACACTGGGCATTTATTTTATATTAAGATATATGCTGAAACTGATCCATTTCCACATGGGCCAATTCACCTAAAACAAGCTTAGTTAAATGGCAAAGAGCAGACTCAAATAGGTGTTAGAAAATCTGGACTCTGAATCCTGCTGTTCTTGGGTAAATTAGTTAAATCTTAACAGTCCTGCCTTCTCATATATAAAATGAAGCAAACAGGCCATATAATCATGGAATCCAAAGGCACTTTAGTTATTTAAAAACAGATGACTAGCCCTGGCCGGTTTGGCTCAGCGGTTAGAGCGTCAGCCTGTGGTCCGGAGAGACCCGGGTTAAGTTCCCACTAGGGGCGCGTGCCTTGGTTGCAGTTTGTCCCCGGCCCTGGTTGGTCGTGCGGGTGGCAGCCACTCGATGTGTCCCTTTCACATCGATGTTTCTCTCTCTCTCTCCCTCCTGCTCTATCTGAACAAAAGAATAAAAAAGTGTCCTCGGGTGAGGATTAAAAAAAAACAAAAAAATAACAGATGACTAAGCTTGACTTCAAACTAAAATAAAATCCACTAAGGTAAATTTTAAATCTTCAACAACAAAAAAAGTGTCTGCATCTTATCATTTTTTTTATCTTAGACTAGTAAGGCCATCACCCTGCACAAAGTTGCTGTAATTCTTAATAAACTTTGATATTTTTAAAGGAGATTATGTGGGTAATTAATGGGGTTTAATATTTGTAGAGTAAAGAAACTATTCAGTTAACAGAGCTATTAATTTTAAGCTAAAAACAGAGATAAACTACCAGTTGATTTTATTCTCTGAAATTAAACAAATTATATGGCAGTTTCTAAAGTGATTGATAGTACATCAAAATTCAAATATTTTTGTTTACCTTGAACTAACTATACCCATCCATTTAACATTTTCCCATTTCTTATTCCCAAAACCAGACTATGTCTATGCATGTATATGCTCTTTTATTGGTATGGGAATAACATATGTGCATGTATACACATATACTGTATTGGAAATATATTTCATTAAAAATATTTTAAAAACAAAGGTAATTCCCAAATGGTAGTTAAATTGATTGGCAGATTTAAGCATACTTAAAGAATTATGTAATATCTCTAGAATCAACTGTTATTATTTACATATTTGTCTCCTTATAAACAAGTTTACCTGTTCATAAAGAAGAAAGGTCTTATCTCTCTCAGATGTAAGAACCTTGACGTTACCCTGAATTTCTGCCAAATGACGCTCATATTTTTCCAGCATGCATTTAAGTTCTTCACGGTCTCTGGTTGTCTTCAAAAGCTCTATATCACAGTTTGTACCCTACAATTATTAATGGAAAAAGTTTAAAAATCACCTCTCTCTTAAACAGTTTCATCCCAAATTGCTCTGCATTTGTCTGATTACCTCCCAACCATGGCTAATTCTGGGAATAAAGAACCAATTTCAATGATTCACTGTCCATCAAAGCGACCTCTGTCTCCCAGCCTCTTTGATATATCAATTCATGCCTATCAACCGAATTATTTCCAGAGTAGGTGAACCAGAGAATAAAGTCAGTGTTTGAGCAAGAAACTCCAAAATATTTGTAACTTTCCAAAACCTACCCGGGAAGATGGAGACGGGCGTCTTGGACTTTTAGATCTACTTCTGATCATCTTTCTCAAGTTCTGAGCTTCACTCTTGTAGTAATCTCTGCTTCTAAAGTCTTGACAAAGGAATCAAGTCTGAAAGGAGATTTATTTTGTGCTTTTTCAGTCTCTAAAATTCGTTTGCCAGGGAGAAAAAAATTAGGCCATTATTTCAAGCTAAACTACAGCATCATTTACTACATGACGTTGAACATAAACAGGATACTTAAAAAGATGTGGTGTTTTAAAAATAAATTTTAAAAATCACACTTAATAAAAGCAGTTAAGATATCTTTCTTTCCCAGCATTTCTGAATGTACTATATTTTTATTTAACTAAAAGTATCCCTAAATTTACCCAATAATTTTGAAGGAAAAATGGAAAAATGGTAAAGAAATTTCAGAGAGGCCAGAAATGTCCAAAGATCTAGTTTCCTAGAAATAAAAGTAATTTTCTTAGAAACACTTGTGTAGTATCTAAGTTTTGTTCAATAATTGTTACAGGGATAAATAAATTAAACAAATCCTGGATATTCCATACTTATATGAACTTTCATGGGCATCCCCATTCATTTTAGTATATTTAGAAGCATTTCTTTTACAACATTTATTTTACCAGGGCTATGGAGGAAATGACAGATATACTTACAGAGAAGATGTTTCAAATATTTTAAATAATAACATTAAAATGTCTAAACAGAGCAGTTTTTATTTCACATTGTTAAATAAAGGAAACATACTACTTGGAATTAAACAACAAAACTTGACTTACAGATATTTATTTTAAGAATAAAAAGTGAATGTGTTGAGAAACACATCTATTTTGAGAATTAAAGTTCTCAAAGTTATCATTTTAAATCAATTAACAGCTAAGGGAATTAATAAAATGAACCAAAAGCTCTCCCCACCTCTACGAGAGAAAGGAGTAATGAAATGGAGAAAGATGGATGGGAGCACCTCCTTCACCAAGCAGAGGACTGATTGTAGAACACAAACATTTTATATTGTTCACAAAATCATGCGAGTCAAAACATATGTACAATTTTTCATAGTTTTATTAACAAACAAAATAAAAATTATTCCTTAACATTATAGTTAAGAAAAATGTACTTACAACCCTGGCCGATTTGGCTCAGTGGTCAGAGCGTCAGCCTGTGGTCCAGAGAGACCCGGGTTCGGTTCCCACTAAGGGCATGTACCTCGGTTGCAGTTTGTCCCCGGCTCTGATTGGTCGTGCGGGTGGTAGCCACTCGATGTGTCCCTTTCACATTGATGTCTCTCTCTCTCTCTCCTTCCCCCCCCACTCTATTTGAATAAAAAAGAAAAAAAAGAAAAATGTACTTACAGATATAAGTCTTTTTATTGTATCTTCCAATACTATTATATTATTTTGCTGGCAAACGAGTTCAACCTGAAAACCAAACCAGGAAAAAATTATTTAGATTATAATGTTTAAACTGATTTAACTGGAAAAAGAATAAAAAAATGTAAGCCACTTAAAAATAAAAACATGCTGCCTGGCCGCTGTGGCTCAGTGGATTGAATATTGTACCATGCACTGAGAGGTCCCAGTTAGATTCCTGGTCAGGGCACATGCCCGATTTGTGGGCTTGATCACCAATAGGGGGCGTGCAGGAGGCAACCAATGGATGTTTCTCTCTCACACTGATATTTCTCTGTCTGAAAAATCAATAAAAACATACAAAAAACAAACAAGCATGCAGGCAGTAGATATTTTACAAAAGAGAAGAAAAGATACTCTACCTCTTTATGTTTACCTACCTTTGATGGTAAAAGAACCTAGGATGAAATATAACAGTTCCTTTTTTTTTTTTTTATCCTCACCCGAGGACATTTTTCCATTTTTTGTTCAGATGGGGGGGAGGGTAGAAACATCGACGTGAAAGGGACACATCGAGTGGCTGCCACCCGCACGACCAACCAGGGCTGGGGACAAACTGCAACTGAGGTACATGCCCTTAGTGGGAACCGAACCCGGGTCTCTCTGGACCACAGGCTGACGCTCTAACTGCTAAGCCAAACCGGCCAGGGCGTAACAGTTCCTTTAAATTATCTAATGTCTTGTATAAAATATTGATTATATTTTACCAAATTACTCCCCACAAACTGGGAAAAATGTAAAATCTAAATATAATCCTGAAGATGATAACAGGGAAGAAATAAAAAAATGACTAAGATTTTAAGTTTTCCCAAATTGCAATAGTCAGAACTGATTTTTTCCTCTGAACTCTTTTTAATAGTTTAGTTCAATCCAAACCACAAAAATTATTTATGTCAGATTTATGACATCAAGCACACTCAGTCTTATAGTATAGTTACACATATAGTTATATATTTAGTATATGACTAAATTGTATGTTCCTAGAGGCCAGTGACTATGTTTTTATGAAAAGTTGTAAAACTCTTTGTTAAAAGTTGGTGTTAATTTAATAAATTTATTTCTCAATTCATACACCTCTCCTTTGTTATTCTAAACGAAAATGTACTATATTTTAAATATATTCTACAATTATTGCACTTCATTTGTTCTTTTGACTGAAGTACTTTCTAAGATTTCTCTAGTAGCCATCTTTTATTTTTTAATTTTTTTATTCCTCACCTGAGGATACTTTTCTATTTATCATCAGATAGAGTGGGAGGGAAGAGAGAGAGACAGAGAGAAACATCAATGTGATAGAGCCACAATGACTAGTTGCCTCCCACATGACCCAACCAGGGATGGGGATGAAGCACAACTGAGGTACGTGCCCTTGACCGGAATTGAACCCGTGACTCACTGGTCTGCAGGCCGACGCTCTAACCGTTGAGCCAAACCAGCCAGGGCAGCAGTCATCTTTTTATAAAATATTAAGGAGTGTTATGGGATGAGACATAACTTATGTACAGTTTGGGTAATCTTATATATCGTTATTTGGGTAGATAGTTTTTCAATGCTTTAATTTATACTACTATGTAGACACTAAAAAATGGATATATATTGAATTATGTCTAAAGATATCCATACTAAATTAGTATAAAAACTCCACAAGGTCAAAAATTTTATTTAGTATGACACATTCTTATAAAAAATAAATTTATATACATATATCCTAGATGCAGATGGAAGAAAACTAATAATATATAACCTGAGATGGATTATGCCTAGTTATAGCAAGGTATGATTATAGTAGATGTAATTTTATATAGACTGAAATTTTTAATAATAGATATATATTACTTTACATATAAAAACATAATGCTGATACCACTCTTAAAAAACAACATTATAACTGGCCCAAATGAAAAGATGCTAACCCAGTGTATTCATTTATTTGATAATTGTTTAGTGAGGACCTACTATGTGCCTAACTTTGTGTTATATACTAGGTATAGCAGTGAATAAAACAGACAAAAACCTCTGCCCTCATGGAGCTGACATTCTAGTTGAAAAGAGAAAAACAAAAAAAATTAGGTATAATATATGTCAGATAGTAATTCTGTCATTCAAAAAATATGTACTGAGCACTCACATTTGTTCTAGGCGCTTGATATATAAAAATAGTGGACAAAATACATCAAGGTCCCTGCCTTTGTGGATCTTATATTCCAGCTGGGGAGACAATAAAAAATAAACCTAACAAATAAATTATATAGTACAATAGAAAAAAGAGCATTGTTAAGAATATTGGGGTTGTTTATAAAGGAACAAGTTAGAATTTTAAATCGAGTGACTAGGGAAGTCCTCATTGAAAGAAGCCCTCTGAGCAAAAACTTAGAGGAGGAAGGGAGTCAAGCTTATAAAAAACTCGGAAAACACTCCAGGCAGAAGATACTGCCGAAAGCAAAGGTCCTAAAGCAAAAGATATCTGCTAAATTCCAAAGAACAGTAAGGAGGCTAGTGAGGCTGGAGCATACTGAGAGAGGGATAAAATAGGAAGAAAGTGCTACAGAGAAAAATAAAGCAGAAAAAAAAGAGAGGAAGTAGTGTGTGTATATGTGTATGTGTATGTGTGTGTGTGGAGGGAGGGAGTTTAAACTCAAATAAGCTTCACCTTTGTCTTCCACATGGTAGGTTTTGAAATATTTTTCATTGACCGACTCACATTAAAAAGGTAACAGTAATGACAGGAGTTATCAGAGTTCCAGTCTAGTAATGACCCCTATGTGAATTAAAAATATAAATTATATGAAAAAACTAGTAAAGGTGAAATTGCAATTCTGCTTCTTCATATTTCAAAACATTGTGTTCAATTATCTGGGAAACACTGTTTTAAGACATGAATGATAAACAACTCAAAATGAAAAGATAAAAGGAGGCATATAGTTGTGGCAGTTTTAAAATGTCCACAAATTCTGATATTCCTTCCTTCAAAAAATGGAACTTAACTACCCTCTACTTAAGTGTGGGCTACACTTAATGACTCATATCTAATGAATAGGATGTGGTGGTATATAACTTTTGAGACTGTATTATAACAGGCATTACAGATTCCTCCTTGCTTTCTTTCTTGAATCACTGACTTGGAGACAAGCCAGCTGCTGTAAAGAATGTATCAAATAACATGGGGGAGAGGTCCACCTGGCAAGAAACTGAGGCTTCCTGCCAAAAGCCAACAGCCATCTGAGTAAGCCATCTTAAAAGCAAATCTTCCAGTACCAAACAATGACTGCAGCCTAGCCACCATCTTGATTAAAATTCCTAAGAAACTATGAACCAGAACTACAATCAAAACTGTGAGATATAAATGTCTGTCATCTAAATTTTTTTCCCTTTATTGATTTTAGAAAGAGAAGAAGAGAGAGAGAGAGATAAAAGTATCGATGAGAGAGAACATCAACTGGCCACCTCCTGCATGCTGCTCACTGGGGATCAGGCCCTGGACATGTGTCCTGACCAGGAATTGAACCAGCAATCTCTTGGTGCATGGATCGACACTCAACTGCTCAGCCACACCAGCCGGACTAAATGTTTGTCATTTAAAGCCACTAAGGTTTAGGGATAATTTGTTACATAACAATAGATAATATAATAGCAAATACTCAAAGCATTTTTTGTTGCTGTTGTTAATTC